TATCCTTCTATATTATTATAACCTGCAGATTTTCTGCATTTATAAAAAAATATTTGCATGAATTTCGTTTTCCTCTACATACATGAAAAAACACTTATATGGATTTTGTTTTCTTATATAAATATAGAAAAAACACTTGCAAGTTAGCAGGTGCGATAGGTGCTGTAGATGCCAAAGATGACCTGCCGTAGGCAACAAGTCATCTGGCAGACCGTATGTCATCTGCCGTAGGCTGTAGGTCATTTACCGCAGAGGTAGGTCATTTTTCACAGAGGGCAGGTCATCTTCTACAATTTTCTTTTACAGACATTTTATCAAACACCTTATGTACATACAAAAAAATGATCAGAATATCATAGAAAAAGAAATCAACCAGAAGAGTATTTGAATGGATTAGATAAACCGTAAGAAATAGTCGTAGTGAGTCGTATATGGTCGTAGTGAGTCGTAGTCGTAGTTATATGGTCATAATGAAATCACAGTCCATAGTCGCAGGTCCGCAGATCTGCAGGGCGATAACCGCAGGTCCGCAGGGCGATAGTCGCAGGTCCGCAGGGCGATAGTCGTAGGTCTGCAGGTGCGCAGGGCGATATGCGCAGGTCCGCAGGGCGATAGCCGCAGGTCCGTAGGTTTGCAGGGCAATATCTGCATGCCCGCAGGTCCGCAGGGCGATAGTCGCAGGTTTGCAGGGTGATAGCCGCAGGTCCCAAGTCCGGAGAGCGATAGCCGCAGGTCCGTAGATCCGCAGGGCGATAGTTGCAGGTCCGTAGGGCGATAGCCGCAGATCCGCAGGGCGATATCTGCAGGTCCGCAGGTCCGCAGCCATAGGTTCGTAGGCTAAATGGCCTGCCGCAGACCGCAAATCATCTGCCAGATACTATAGGTCATTTAACGCATAACACATATTATTTTTCACAGATCGCAGGTCATCTACCGCAGTTTTTCTGGTACAGACATTTTCATCAAATACCTTATGTACATGCAAAAAAATGATCAGAATATCACAGAAAAAATTAACGAGAAGAGTATTTGCATAAATTAGATAAATTATATAAGAAAGGGAGAAGATAAAGAAAATATTGGAGAAAAAAAAGATCAAATTGTAAAACTTACCGATTTTTGAAAGATAGATTATCACACAATCGTAGAGAAATAGTGTAAAGGGTAGTTTGAGTATTTAGAAAAAAAATATATTATATAAAAATTATTTTTTTGTGAGATATTTTGTCAATTTCGTTTTTGTTTTGATACAGTTTACCACCGATCAAAAATTAAAAACAATAAGAGAAAACAATTAAATTAAATACAATAAAGAAATTTGATTTAAAAGGGCGGATATTTTAATGATTCGAATCGCAACACAACCGCGCGTGTGTAATCGCCCAAAAAAGCAAATCAAATTAACAATAATTTCTCTAAGAAATGTTTTAGTTTTAACATTCGTCGTGAGGTACAACAAATGCTCTCACCATCTCCATCACATTACCATACCTCGCTTTCACTGCTTTTCTTCTTCGCTCCTCAAAGATTTCAGGTTTTGCAGAGAATATCATCTCTCTCTCTCTCTCTCTCTCTCTCTCTCTCTCTCTCTCTCTTTCTATACATACGTACGTACAGTTCATCTTGATTGATCCATCAATTTGAAGTTTCCGAGGTTCGTCGTTGAATCCGGTGAGAATTTTTTCTTCTGATCCTTCGAGTTCATCTTCATGTTCTTCGAATAGGTTTTCCCCCGTTTTATTGTCGTGATTTTGCTCGGTAATCGATATCGTTGGACTTCTGGAAGATTCATGTGATCTGAGTTTCATGCACGTATCCCGAGGAGAGCTTTCTCCAAAACGCGTCGTTTTGTCTCTGTCCTGCCTGGTGTTCCTTTGGTTTCAACTTTAGTTCTATGGGGAAAATGGTTAGTTAAATCCTGGTCGCTCTGGAGTCTGGACGCCGGAACTGCGGTGGTTTTGATTATCCGGAGACTCGGGAACTCGTCACCGACAAGGTGCGTTCGTTGGGTAGCTGTTGTTCGGAGGATGAGGGAGAACGCGTAAATGTAAAACAAATGTTATTTTGGTCTTCCGGCGAGTTCGAACGATCTGATTCGAGAATGCGTCGTCGACGTGTTCGCGCTATTGTCCGTTTCTGGTCAGATAGTGTGAGCGAGTCTCGTAGTAGGCTACTGAGAGTTGCGAAAGAAACTGTCTGCTTATGTACATTTGAGTTTGAATGCTTATATCTTCTTTGTTAATGGTTTTTTCGCCTTCCTCTGGTTTATTGTTCAGTGCAATTTCAAGCCGAGTCGAGCGAGTCATGTTAGTCCGGTAGCGAGTTTGTTGGATTTGGGTGATGCAAATTTTCGTTTATTATGATTTATTTACTGTGACACAACGAATGGGGCTGTCGTTAGGGGGGTGAGTTACGTGAAGAATCTTTCATTCCAGTGCTTTCTTGGAGAATCCTCAACTAGATATCGGGCAACCGAATAGAATCTGATTCAAGTTTTAAGGGGATATAAGTCTGTTCTCTTCATCGTTTATACTCTGCATATTTATTTTTTTCTTTGTGTTTGTGCTCACTCAGTACCTACTACCTTATTGTCAGCAGTGATGGGAGGTCTTTTATCTAAGACCTATTCAGATGCATGCAATGTTCTCTGAATGGGAAGGGGTAATCAAGTTTTGTTGCCTTTCTAGTTTGTAGCAGTTTCTGGGTTAGGACCCTGTCGATTTTTTCCACTAAAAAGTTCTGTTTTTGATATAGGAGTGGAAAAGGGATCTGATACAAGAAGAGGTAGCCGTTTGATGCTGAGTGATTTCCATTTGACTTCTCCAACTTTTGCATCAGCATCATGAACATGCCACTTTTGAATATTCAACCACGGACGTTAAAGTTTGTAGGTGAGAGAATTATTATTTTCTGTTTAGTGTGTGTGAACTGTGGCCCATGTTATTTAAGCTATGGAATTGTCACAGGTATGATATCTACTTTCAATTAAAAATGGCTGAATTGCCATTATTATGTTTCGCTGGGGAAATTTGGCTCCAATCCATAAAACCTAGTGCAGTAAAAGCCAGATCATGGAAAATCTGAGGGAACAAATTTTCTTTTCTTATTTGTCAAGAAAATTCACGTGGAATATAGTTCGTTTTGAGTTTGCCTGTAAACTGTTCTGTATATATCAAATTGCTGTTATACACTGAAATCATTTGATGTTATGGGGCTATGGGCCTGATCATACGTGCGCGTAGTACGAGGATTTGAAATGTTGAAGTTCTGATGTTAAATTGTTTGGAAGCTGCATTAGTATGTAATGTTAGGATTGAGAGAATACTTTGTGACGATCATATACCGTTCCTATATATGTTAAAAGAAGACAGTAAACGGTGGAGATAAAATCTATGCTTTGCTTTTCAGGCTATCAGTTGTTTGTTATTCATAACACATGGACTGGTTTTCTAATTTGCAGTTGAATTGAAGAAGCAAAGTTCTTGTGTGGTTCAGCTTACTAATGCAATCCATCACTACGTTGCTTTCAAGGTTTAAAACACAAACTTCTTCAAGATACTGCATTTGTATTTGAATTTTCAGACTATAGATTTTGCTTGAGATCGAGCTTTATTTAACTGTTATATCGGCTTTTGATAGATCAAAACCACATCCCCAAAGAAGTATTGTGTCCGACCAAATGTTGGCATTGTTGCACCAAATTCATCCTATGAATTCACTGGTATGCCAACTTATATTTTTTCAGATATTCTCGCGTTGTATTTGTTTTCTTTTCTTTTAGCTCTTTTAGGCCAGTAGGAGAACTAGTTATATGATCCTTCTGTACAGCAAGTATTGATTAAAACATACTATCTGTATCGTTTGCTTTGCCGACTTTGCTGAGTACAACTGGAAACCCACTTTTTTTCATTTTTTTAGTAATTTATGTTTCCAGAGTTTACATTTAGTTTTTAAAGTGAAAAAATGTAAGGGAATGAGTGTATATCAAAATTCTTTTAGGTGGTTTACTATACAACATAGTTTTGGACGAAATTCTTGCTCGCAGTCTTGTAGGCTAACAAGTTTGTACATGGTCTTAATGCAGTCATTATGCAAGCATTTAAAGAAGCCCCTCTAGATATGGTTTGCAAAGATAAGTTCTTAATCCAGAGCACCATTGTGCCTGCTGGGACAACTGATGAAGACATCACAGCTAGCATGGTTAGAATTCATAATAACAGCCTGTACTAATCATCTATCATTGAACTCAGATTCTGATCTTTCATGAATCATGTACAAATGTTATCCTTGGCAGTTTGCCAAAGAGGAAGGCAAGCACGTAGAGGAGAACAAACTCAGAGTCACTCTTGTTTCAGCCTCAGATTCATTTGAATTATCTCCGAATAATGGAACATTGAAGCAGGACCTTGTTTTTGAAGATTCAATCTTCAAGGATCGAGTATTTAGCCAACCCGAAACCCTTGATCCGCCACAAATTGTAAGCAAAACTCTGTAGTCTGTTTCTATCTGTTCTCTCATTTGGCACACTTTTTAATCTGATTTTCTTAGGATTGTATTTGAAGAGGCGAGTTTCTTATGCTTATCAGGTTTCTTTTTCAAATGTGCTATTTAGGAGGGTGAGATCGATAAGGAGCCTAGGATGGTTAGACATGAAGAGACCAAACCAACCAAGATTATTGCTGACGATGTCAAGGAGTTGAAGCCGCCAAAGAAGAGCTCTGTCAGTTTTACTGACGAATTGGACCCAGCTAGGAGCAGCTATGACACATCAAAATTATTAAAGGAATCTGATTTTGACCAGTTACGGTCTCATGAGGATGCAGATTTCACAAGGGATATTAAGCCAAGAATTAACATTGAGTTTCCGAGGAAGCCTGCGGTGGATTCACCTGAGGATTTGAGGCATGCCAGTGAAATAAATTCAGCTACTGAGCCATTTGAATCGAAGATGACAAAGGACAGAGACAGAGAATTCACTCGACAGAATATCAAATCCACTGATGAGCTGAAGCTGGTCAAAGACATCGAGGAGATGAAGCTGAAGGCCAATGCCCTTGAATCCAAGCTAAAACAGGTTGAATTTTCCCTCAATCTTACCTCCTTTCGGTTAAATTCACATCCAGACGATGTGTGGCTGTTAGCTTCTTCTATCTTCTTTCTCGATCTCATGATTTCATAATAATAGAGATTATTGCGACTAGAACAACTTGCTTTTGCAGGTTTACTGCCTTCGATTCTAAATACGAAACCACTGAAGCATTTTAATTTGGGTGCAGGCTGATGCAACCATCACAAAGCTCATCGAAGAGGGGACTCTGAGCTCTCAAAACAGACAAAGCTTGCAACACGAATTGGTGAGTGTCTCTGTTTAGTACGGTTGTTCGGTTAGTATAATATTTTTCCTTTTCCTTTTTGGGGTAACAACGGGGGGTTTTTGGTGTGTATATATGTTGTTTTGCAGGCGGAGCTAAGAAGGAAGAAGGTAATCAAACAAGCGAACGTGGGGTTCCCCCTCTTATTCGTTTGCGTGGTGGCGTTCATCAGCATTGTTATCGGATACCGTCTCCACCCGTGACGCCCTTCTTCTTGGACTCCCATGGGATATATATATGGCCTCATAAATCCGGTAAAGTAAACATTTTTTTTCCATCTTATAAAAAACGGTATGAGGTTCTGAATATAAGAACAATGAAGAGAAAAAAATGTTTATATTTCCGTAAGGAGTTGGAAAAAAAAAAAGGTCCCTCTTATATAGAGTAGTGTCGTGATTCCGGGTCTCTTTGGATGCCTTATGAACTATGACTCGGAAATTACAAATATATATATATATGTATCCAGTAATACATATTTTATTATTTGAACGGAAATAGAGTTATTCGAATCATTCCTAGATAAAACCCTGTATCATGTTAAGTAACAAATTCTTGAAAACAATTTGTAATAAAAAGAGATAGGGAGAAGAAATACATTTAAGTGATCGAACTGTGATTAAAGAAGTTAAAGCATTGGGAAGAAGGCCTCGAGCGAAGGGGGGCCGCGTCTTTAGGACAAGATGACAATCCGAACGGAGACACAAGGCAGTTATAAGACAAGCACAACGACACAGAGCCAAGCAACTTAACTCCTTGACGCTGCTGCAACGGAAACCTCGTGAGATAGTTATGCTGCAGATACAGCGTCTTGGTGGTACCATTGATGAGGCTGTCGATGTAATCCCCAGGCACTTCTCCCGTCAGGCGATTGTTGTTCAGAAACAGCGTCTCGGCTCCAGCGAGTTCACGAGATAGCTCTCCCGCTATTGAATTATGGCTCAGATCGATAACTGATCCCGTTGGAAGAATGAATGAAAAGGACGTTGGAACTGCCATCCCCGTGAAGTTGTTCCGTTGCAGAAGCAGCACCACGGACGGACGGAAGATCGAGTTGGGGATAGTTCCGGTGAACTTGTTCACACTTAGATCGAGGTAGGTTAACTCGGTGAGTGACTCTAGGACTTCGATTGTACCACACATCGAGTTGTTAGATACCGACAAGTAACGAAGCGACTTAGGCAAGAAATCAGGAAGCGGACCCGAGACTCCGTTCATCTTGATGTCCAAATGGAACAAAGGGCTCAAGACATGAGGACCGAGGTTGCCCGAAAGATGGTTCGAAGCCAAGACAAGGACTTTGAGGTGAGGCAAGCGAGTGAGACGAGGCGGGATAACCCCAGATAATTGATTGTAACTCAGGTCAAGTGTATGCAAGTCTAGAAGAGAGGAGAAAGAGGCCGGTATAGAGCCGGTTAAGCGGTTTCTTGTCAAGGAAACAACACGGAGGGAGGGGAGAAACCCAAGCTCGGATGGAACCGGGCCAGTGACTAAACCGGGCAAAAGGATGAGTTGGGTTAACCGGGTTAAATTGGAGAGAGCAGGGGAGAGGGAACCCGAGATACCGGGGCCCAGGGTTAACGTTTCGACTCGCCCGAGGGAGCAGGTGACGCCGGAAAAAGAAGAGCAGGGGTCGGAATCCGAGAAATCCCACGAGGCGAAGAAGGAGGAGCCGGGCATTTCGGTTAGAGAGTACCTAATGGCTTCGAGTGAGGCTCTTTCAGAAGGAGACATTGAAGAGGCCACAGTGGTGAGGAGGAGGTGCACTAGAAGAAGCAGCAGTTTGTGTGTCATGTTTTTTTCTTTGGAGCTTTGAAGTGAAAGAAGAGAAGCCCCTCTTTGTAACATTTAAAGCCGAAAGAAGACAGAGACAGTGTATGAGCGTATTTATTAATGTCCTTCGGCTCCATGTCCCCAACCCCAAGTGTGTGATGTTTTGATTTGTTTTGTGATGTGTGTTTTTTGACTTTATTCACCAGTGACCGTTTGTGGTCCCCATTTCTGCATTTGAACTCCCTTTGAGGAAAAGAGGTAGTATTATATATTTACCGAATACAAACCTGAACAAACCCAACCAAATCTAACCGAAATTTTGGTTCTCATCTAGTTGGGTTTCCATTAAATCAAATTATTTCATATTTCTGAAACTGGTTTGATTTCTGTTTCAATTTTATAGATTCATACAGAACTGAAATGAGCTATTTATAATCTAGTAAAAAAAAAAGGCAATCTAAAGATAAATCGAATGTCATCTCTTATCCGCTGAAAAACGGGTATCCACGCGATGGGTTTTAGGATACCCGCAAATATTCAAATCCAAATCCAAACCCAAATCCAAAACTTTGAATCTTGCGAATCCAAATCCAAATCCGAATAATAGAAAAACAAATCCATTTATCAACAACCCTCCATACTGAAATACGAAATATAACGTGAGAATAAAGCATACATTATTATACATCAGACCGCTCCATTGATTCCTCGTGATGCCATACAATGCAATTCAACCACGATATCTCGTGACGACAAATATTGACATTTCGAAGATATATATATATATATATAAAATAAAACTGTAGTCTATAGTAGATGAAAAAGAAATACATAGAGACATGCGAAATAAAATGAATGAGAGAACTATAACTAATCTAAACAAATATCCAATATCAACTCAGCATGAGATATATAAACCTTTCGGAAGAACAACAGAGCTTATTTATAAGCATTTATGAGACAGTCCAAGCTTTTGTAATGTAAGCAAAAAAATAACATTTTTTTTCACAGGGAACCAACAAAAAAATAATAATGCATAGAAAAGCTTTCAACCAGACCACTTGCACTGTTTACATGGAGGAGACGAAGCCTCTATGGATTTTCTTCGCTGGTTTTGTTATTCTGATCACTCTCTTTCGTCGTCGTCGTTTTCTTCTTCTTCTTCTTCTTTTTCTTCTTCTTCTTCTTCTTGTTCGCGGTCCCGGTTATGGGGTGACCGAATGGACCAGACCATGTCTGAACCTGCGTGGGCGGGTCATCTTTGGAGAAGTCGAAGGAAGTTGAAGTGAAGAGAGGGACGATAACGGGAGGGGCTGAAGTCGGGTTTATGTGCTGTGAGGCCCCTAATGGAAGCCCTAATGCCCCTCCTTCCTGATGGGGGGCTGGAAACTTCTCACTCTTGGTCTTTGCGCTCGACTGCGTGACATTTCTCTGTCTCTGCTTCAGTAGTTAGAAAAAAATGTCAGATCACGTATACATGTGCATATACCGAACATATATATGTACAGACCGGAGAATGCATTGATCAGGAAAGTGAATGTATATATATGTAATATAGCAAGGGATATTTTGAGTATTGCTCAATGTTCTTAAGCGAGCCAACCGTGTAAAGAGATCTTGAAGATCAGACCTATACACTTGCAAGAGTCAGCTGATTCATGTCTTTGCATATGTAAGCCTGCATGCATGCTTAGATCTGCATGTCTAATGTATTCATATATATGCACCCACATATACAGACTCTTGGATGCATTGACCAGGACAATAAATACATTTTGTGTTAGCAAGGAGGCATTGAAGATTAAAAGTACACCAACAGAGCTTGGTAAAAATTTACGCATTTATACGTATGCAATAATTTTCACATGTCATGTGTGTATAGACGTGTTTATGTATAGATCCGCTAATCTACATACAGAGATGGGTCACAGGAACAAGGGTATACGCTTTGGTACATCTATGAAAAATGGGGTTTCTAATGCAACCTATTAGAAGAATAGACGTACCGAAAACAATTAAACACAACAAATTCATTTTCTCAAGAAACGATATATCAAGAAGTGTAAATTCGGTACTGAACAGCAATTATTATTGACAAGAAGCAGTTTATATGGACATACATTGACATTAGTTTGAATTTCGGCATTGGCTTCTGGAGCTGGAATGGCTCTATTAGAAGGAACCCGGTTCTGATTCTTCCTTGTACCATCCCCTTGGAGTTGGAGCTTATTAGCATCATCTCCTTGTCTGCACAACAACACGGTAACAAGTCATCGAACCCATTAACTTCTTTTCTACTACTTTTAAACAGATATCACTTGGACACACTCTGAATAAAAGTGGGTAAAGAACGGATATCCAGATTATCTATGATCTACTCCGGTCTAGGAGGAGGATGCCAAATAGCATCCAACAAAAATCAATATAGTATATACATAGATATCCGAAAATCCAAAGGCACAAAAGTAATAATGAATTATGGAGATGGATATTAAGTGGATATCTGAATTTCCAAGACATTCGCGATCCAATCCTGTCTGCTTCCCTGGGGCGAAATTCAAATTGTGCTTCTTTTTGCATTCTATGATGGTTCATGAATTGGCTTGAGTGATTGTAATGTGGCACATAGATCAATTTGACAATTCGGATTGAGATAACGTATTACAATGACCCCAAAAATAGATTGTTTCCGGTTCAGTTCCAGTTTGTATTGCGGCTAAGATTGGGCAAATCATGATATTTTGCATACCCTACTGCATAGGCAGATTTATCATGAATATTCATATTTACCCTTTGCATGAATCATCTTTTGAAGAAAATTCAGGGCGTATGACAAGTATAAAGGCACATTTATGTAAAAAGTTGAATGAATCAATTCAAATAGCATTAAGAAACTAAAGAAAAATTCACTAACCTTCGAGCTTCTTCATCTCGTCGTTTAGCATCCATTTCTTTGCTTGGGGGATATTTAGGAAGATCAGCAGGTTCACAGGCATATGGTTCAGTAGTAAAGAACTGTAACAAGTAACATTTATCATTAATTCATTATTGACCAATCCAAACCCATTTAGCATTATAAACAAATTCATAGAAAGAAGCAGCAAAACATAACTTGAGAACTTACTTCACTTCTCAATGCAGCAGTTGCAGTTTGCCGATCTTCTGGTTCAACTGAAAGAAGAGTGTCGACGAGGGGAAGAGATGATGGCGGAAAGTCTTTGAATGTCTCTCTTATGCATCTTTTGTATGGTTCCCGAGGCTTGTATATGGCTCCATGTGAGAAATTTCCTTTTTCCCAGTATTCCTCTGAAGGTGAACCACATAACTTGTATATCTTATGCAACTGCTCTACCTAAGTAGATGACATAAGATTATGATCACTATCACAAAGGACCAATAAGTAATTGCTGCTGCTTGAAAGTTGCAAGACATTCAAGCTTGTCAGCCTATATATGCTCGTCAAACAAAACCCATTCAAGCTCATGCGTAAACTTGGACAAGAATTCTTTACGAGGATCAAACATTTAAAGAGAGACGAAAAACTTTTAGCACATCTAAACTACCAGAGCCGAGGATGTTGGTTTCCCTTTGTTTAGAATGACCATGAGTAAACGTTTGTTCTCAATTATCCCACTTACGTTTGTCAAAATTACCCTATTGATTCTCATTTCCTATCTTTAGATAAATCACCAACTTTCCCTATACATATACATCATGCTAAAGTGTTTTAAGGGAAAAGAAAGAAAGATATCTACAAGTAAATAGGAAAATGAACCAATATCATAATAATGTATAAAGTCAAAGGTGAAGATTATATTGGTCAGCTACCTCGGTATGGCCGGGCATAATAGGCTTTCCAGCCAATAGTTCAGCTAAAATACAGCCAGCACTCCAAAGATCAACACCTACACCATAATCAGTAGCTCCAAGAAGAAGCTCTGGTGCTCGATACCACAATGTAACCACCTGACTTGTCATCGGTCGCCTGTGATTTGGGTCAAAAATTGTCGCCAGCCCAAAATCAGCAATCTTGAGTACTCCACTTTCATCGATAAGAAGATTTGATCCTTTGATGTCCCGATGAAGAACACCATGACTATGACAGTGCTCCAACCCAGATAGCAGTTGACGCATAAAACATTTAACCTACAACATCAAAAACAACCGACTGGCGACTGGTATTACCACAAAAACCAAACTGGTCTATATATTTGCATGACACACAGATTTGCTAAATGTGAAATTACGAGATGCAGTAGGACTGACCTCTGGCTCCGAGAATTTCACTACAGGACTAGCAGCAAGACCAGCCAAATCATGTTCCATATACTGAAAAACAAGATATAAGTTACACGAAATCCTTGATGTGACCAGACCTTCCAATTTCAGAACATTAGGATGATTAAGTCTTCGCAACACAAGAATCTCTCTTGTCATAAACTTCACGCTCTCGGGTTCCAGATTGTCAAACCGAACCTTCTTTAGGGCCACTATTTTACCAGTCAGCATATCCTTTGCTCTGTAGACATTACTGTATGTTCCTTGTCCAATCTACCAACACAAAGGGTATCAAAATGAGATAGGCTATAATTTGGAAAATAAGAGAAGGAAATGCAGTTAGTAATCCGGTATGGACCCTATAACCATTACATATCAAAATTACCCTCAAGTGCTAACATGATTTAAACTGATTAAAACTACATTGGTCCAAACGAACAAGTCTAGGAACAGAAGTCAACTACGGCAAATTATAAAACTACATTAGTCCAGAGAAACGATTCTAGCAACGGAAGTCAACTATGAAGAATTAAAAACTGCAGCATCCCACAAAACACACCTTATCTATTTTCTCAAAGGTGTCTGCTTGCCTAGGAATCCACCCATTCAGCGCTTCACCACAAGCATCTGAGAGCCAAGATGGCCAACCAGCAGCAACCAGCTCTCCATGTAAATGCTTTTGCGGATTGCTCAAATGCGATTTTGGTTTCGACCTTCTCCTTTCAACCCTCGGTTTCCTATCCCTATCAGGGTATTTCTCCTTCAGGATCTCATCATTTTTCACCTCCACAGCACTAGCACCATTGCTCTTCGTCACTGTCACATTTTCTGCACGTCGCCTAGATCGTTCATCCCTCGAGTTCTCTTCCCGTTTGGCTTTAGATGTTGTCCCCAACCGTGCCTGGCGGCCACATACACACCCCATTTCATCAACCTAGGCTTCATTTCTCACCATATTCCAACATTTTCTAGAGAAACCTCCCCTGCAACTGCAGAAACTCAATCGAATTAGAATGCGTAAAGCTATCAAATACAACTAGAAGAAATCACTCAGGCTGTATCACAATGGCATGATAAATCGAAATAACCACTCAGAAATTATGGTTTCTCTCTGCTTAAACGGTGTCTTTTGCCACAACACACAACCCATTTCACGAATCCAAAGCTTCATTTATCACCATATCCCAACACTTCCAACGACCAATTCAAACGCAGATAACCCTAGCCCTTAAAAAACCGACAGAGTCGGATATCCATTGAAATTAAGAAAAAGAAGCTAAGACGACCTCAGATTGAATGATGAAACCGAAGCAATCTGAAACACGAAGAACTTGGAGGATTAGTAAAGAGAAAAACCTGATCACAGAATCTGATTGAAAAGATTTCCAGCAGAAAAGAATGAATCTCTGTGCTCTACTGTGAGAGGCGAGGCGAGGCGAGAGGAGGGAGTTGGTAGGTACCTTGATTGACAGACGTTTTTTTTTCCTCTTCAGTTAAATAAAATAAAAAATGCATCTATAAATAGATATAAGTTGCGCTGACAAATAAATGAAAGGCTAGAAAAACAGGGAAAAATATCTCAACTATTGTATAATACATATAATTATTATATTACAAAATGATGTGTAATTATTTTTACGTTAATTGAGGTTTTAATTATAAATTCATAACTCAGATTTTAAATTCATAAATATTATTTAAAAATTTAACCACCAAAAATCTAGATAAATCTAAATATTTATAAAAAAATATCCAAAACTATCATATTTATTATTTCACAATAATTATTTGGATTTATAAATAATTATTATTTTATATAGATTTTTAAAGTTAGATGGGTTTTTTTGTAAATTTTTGAAACTATAAAATTTGTTTTGGCATGAACAACAAAACTATGCTTATATTAGGAAAAATTCCAAATAAATACATCTCGTAATTTTTTACTGACAAATACATAAATTTTATAGGAAAAATGGCAAATAAATACATCAATTTGTTAATTTCTTACTCATAAATACATGAACTTGTAATTTTTTGTTACTAATTAAATCATATATTTGGTGTAATTAATCTATAAAATCCTGAACTTTTTAAAAATTCGTCGAAAACCTCCTATGTTTGACAATTCAAATAAAAATGATGATGTGGCAATGACATGGCTTCCAAGTCATGTACACATCATCATAATCATGCCACATCATCATTTTAAACAAAATTTAAATTGAATAATTTATTTAGATTAATATATATACACATAAATTCATACATATATACATACATATGTATATATATATATATATATATATATTAAAAATAAAATTAATTATAATTAATAAAACAAAAATACATATCTACAATATATATATAGGGAAAATGGCAAATAAACACATAAATACATGAATTTGTAATCTCCCAACAAAATACATCAATTCACAATTTTCTGGCAAATTAGTACACAGACATTAACACCGTTAACTTTGTAACAGTTTCCGGTAAACAGTGCTGACGTGGCTCGCCGGATTTTCCACGTTAGCGCCATATGTCAAACATTTTTCCACGTCATTAAAAAATTAAAATTAAATTCATTTAAAATAAAAATAATTTTTTAAAAAATAAATTTTAAAATTTAAAATTTATAAAAATTACAAAATTACAAATTTGAAAAAATAAATTTTAAATTAAATTAAAAAAATTCAAAATTAAAATTTAAAAGAAATATTAAAAAAATAAAACTTTAGATTTCGAAACTAAAATGTATACACATATATATACATAAATTTACACAAATATATATAAACATAAATACACACATAAATATATATATATATATATATATATTTGTAAATTTATATATATATATACACATATTTTAGTTTGTAAACATATATACACACATAAAATATAATGGTGTGTGACCCTGTAGGCCCATTCGAAGTGGCAGTGGTTTCGGAACCCTTTCCCGAACCACAAGACATGGTTAGCCTCTAGCAAGATGTCATGACCACCCACCTAGAATAGAGTTAGAGATGATCTAACAAAGGCAGCAATAGCTCGAGTTCTGATCCTTTGTCTCACGATGTCATATGTTGAACAAGGACATGGTATGAGCAATCCTTCAAGTTCAACCGCTTACTCGTCTTGGCAAATCGACTGACAAAATAGATGTAACTTCATCTATAGCGTGACCATGCGTTTTTCATAGTTCGATTTCCACGAGGGGCCCAGAGACATCTCTCCTGCTACGGAGGTGACAAGTCTCGTATTGCATGTCTATTATCTCCATATGATTCGTGAACGTATCTGAGCAACGCCGTTATGATCATCCGGTTAAAGACGACGTTTGACGCAGTCAAGACACGCCACTACTCATATCATATACTCTAGACATCTCAGGTATGAGGATCCAAGAACGAACTGCTGTATGAGATTCAAGTCATGACTCGTATCCATATGACAATCTCATGCGTGTCATCCAGTCACTCGTTCCAAACAAGTACCCATGATTGTGATTTGCATCCAATGCATATGATCAGCATCATCAATCACACCTCATGGTGGTCTTAATTCATCATTGTTCCCACAATGACAACTGACTAGGGAGTTTAGAATCATCTGCAATGATTCAAGGATATCTACCGAAATATAACAAACATGCCAATCATATAACGGGAAAAATAATGCATTCATAAGCCAATGAATCAATACATAGTCAAAATTTCATATCACGGATCATCCTAAAGCATTACAACCAACAATCTCCCACTATGCTCTATGATCTATCCTACAAGCATCTAATCCCCATGTCCCTAACATGACCATCATGCTTTGACGAAGGGAGAGGCTTCGTCAATGGGTCGGCAATATTATCATCTGTCGACACTCTGTTTATCTTCACGTCTCCTCTGTCGATGATTTTTCTTATCAAGTGAAATCGTCTGAGTATGTGTTTGGATCTTTGGTGTGACCGGGGTTCCTTAGCTTGCGCGATCGTACCATTATTGTCACAGTACAACTCAGTGGGATCTGCAATGCTAGGAATGGCGCCTAGTGTAACGACCCGAGGTCGCTACGAATTGTCGAAACTGCCCTCACACAGCAACCCGAGACCTTTCAGCGTGTTTTGTCCTCACTCGCACGCATACCGAGACGCTTCCCAGTAGGTCACCCATCCTGAGATTGCTCCAGAGCCAGCACACTTAACTTTGGAGTTCTCTCGGGATAGTTAACCAAAAAGGTAGGTGCACCTTGTTGCTATGAGTAGCTCAACTAATTCTTTTATGTTATCTTAGACCGTATAGTCCCATACCTATACAACCCTCAGATCTCTCTCATTCCGGTGTGTTCGATTCATCCCTATACCCCCTACCCAGAAGCTCGTCAGGAGCCGTCCCTTGTCCGTGCCTCTGCACCGGCGATCACTCCCCGCCCTCCTACGGTACTCTGGGTTGTCATAGGCCCACCATCTTCCGCCTGGTTCGTCCTCGAACCACACCGTACTGGGAGAGTACCGGCTCTGATACCATCTGTAACGACCCGAGGCCGCTACGAATTGTCGAAACTGCCCTCACACAGCAACCCGAGA